TTCCCCATCTCATTTTCAGTTATATCAACGTTCTCACGTTCCTCATCACCTTCAATCTCAGACATCTTTCTCTTTTCTAAACAATAATAATCGATAAATAAATTATTAAACGATGACTATGTAGAGAGACTACTTCAACTACACAAATATTTATGGATACATTTCTTATTTATTTCTTACTGGCAATTGTATTGGTATGAGAAGTGAAGGTTAATAAATGGGATGTATTTATATTGTTTTTTACTTTTTATTTTAAAAAAAAATCATGTTGCACCAAAAATTGAGGTGAGGAACACCTCTACCTGGGTGATGAGTACACATCAGCCTTCGACAATTACGTGTAAGCCTCATTACTATTTTATATAAAAATTATTGTGATGCACCTCGTATTGCTCAATTTTAAATGAAAATTAATATTATGGAACTATATTAATTATATAGTTGAATTCTTAGTGGCTATTACTTGTTTGATGCAAGGTTTAAGATCGCATAACAGGATATCAAAGCTTTTTTTTTTATTTTTTTATGTGAGTCTGAGACCCAAAATGTTTTAAAACATAAGCATAAAAAAAATCATAAATTAAATTATAAATTAAAAAACATTAAAAAGTAATAGCTTTAGAGCATAACATAATATCATAAAAGATCATTAATGTGCACTCAATAATATTCAAGAAGTCCAAGATAAACAAGTAAACTAGAATATGAAGTCTAATAATTAATCACGTGAAATATCCTAAGAAAAACTAGTAATGAATTAAAAGATAGGTGTTTGAATTCAAAAGTCTCTCCACACCCTTCGCCTAGAGGGCCTTCATTAAAATTATCACCATAATTGATTTATTTTTTACCTTCCTCATCCTTACTTGTATTTAAATACTCTTAATCTTTTGCATCATTTTGAACCTCAATCATCCTCCACGTCCATAATTAATAGAAAAACAGCAAGGTAATGTCATGAGGTGCACCTCACGAGTTCAAGGTGCCTCTATTTCCCCACAACTTGAAGCACTTTGCACATGCCTCTCAGAGACACACCTCAAGGCGCATAACTTCTCTTAAAATCCATCAAAAAATATGCATTGCATTTTTTTAGCATCATTGCATTTAGAAAACCCTAGACATTACGCCACCTAAATAATGGAGACATAAGGAAAATATTAGCAAGTTTTGATCACAAACCAAATGATATAACATTTGTAAAGTACCCTCAAAGATTAGTAAAGAGTATGGCAATATTTGCAAGCATAATTTAGTAAGAACTTTCACGACTATAGTAGTGTTAGAAAATTATTAAATATAAGTACTTACGGGAAAAAATTCAAATTTTAATGAATACATAACTGTGCATTCATATATAAGATATCTTCAACTTAGAAAATTTGCATATTTACAACAGGGTCAGATGCATCCTTTTTTAGCTTTCCTTTTCCTATTTCTAAATTCTGACTTTGAACGAGTACTTTAATACAAATAAAAATAATCTCTAAATGATCAGTTGGGATAAATTTTGGTATCACATCATCCCATCCATACAAATCTTGCATACATGACCTATGCTTTTAAATGTAAGTTTACAATTTAAGTCAAAATTAACTGATAATAGACAAACAAAACAGTAAGGTAACAGTCTTTCAAGATGTGTTTTGAGAACGAAATTCTGCAACAGCGATTGAAATTTGAAACCTGGAAGCATTTTGTAACTTGCACTATTGAATGTCTCCACATGTCATCACATTGGGGGCGCCGCTAATACAAAACTACAATCTCTCACAGCACTGGCACCATCAAAATCCTACTAAGATATGGTAGTCCCCAATCATTTTATATGTCCTTTCAGCACGTTAAACATTCATTTATAAAAAATTAAATTATGAAACTAAAAACCTGAACTCATACTATAAGCCTTAAGATTAATGATGCATGAAATTTTAATTCGTTTGAAAATTCAAACTACAAGAAATATATTTTATGTTGGATGTATATTACACTGCTGTACAAAAAATCGAAACCAGAATTAGAAGGAAAAATAGCGGAAACACAAAAATAACTTTTATTAATAGGGAAATAGGGTTACAATACACACAAACTAAAAAATAATATCACCGACACATAAAAGACACAAACGAACACCTCAAAAGTGCATCCCAAGGGTGGTAGAGAATGGCTTGGTGGGTTGAGACAGTTAGCAAGGGTGGCGGCAGCAAAGGGCGAGGTGAGAAAACTGCAGGAACAGCCAGAAGGCTGGCTGTCCTGTGCAGCGAAAGCAAGAGATTGGGGCAGAAACAGCAGGAACAGCAAAGATTTGCTGTCCCGGAGCGGTGGCAGCAAGGACTGGTGGGTCGAAAGTGATGATGGCAAAGATGCAATCGGTTTGGGGTGGCAGGAAGGTGTTGGAGAGGGATTGAAGTGGTGGGCGACTAAGGGGAGTAGAAGAAAAGGGTTGGGAAAAATGAAAAGCGAAGATGCATCATGACTAAAGGGAGTAGAAGAGAAGGGTTGGGAAAAATGAAAAGTGAAGATGCATCATCACCTCGGAGGAGGATACAACCTGAGCACCACCGCCTCCTCGGATACAGCCCTACAAAGAGGAAGAGGACTGAACACGAGAAATTTTAAATGCACATAAAGCAAAACTCAACCCTACAATCAAAAAACAGCAAATCATAGACTCTCATTGATGAAGAAATGAAAGAGATGTGAAAACTCCCACACAAAAGATATGTGTGGGGAGACGAGAAAGGTCAAGAAATAGCCATTAAAATCTTCCCATACGAAAAAAAAACATATAAAAGGAAGGAGGAGAGGGGCGAGGGAGGCCGCTCGCCTCATCAAGAGTCTCGCACGGACCGCTCGGCCCGAGATTCCGGGAAGAACCCATGACTCCCGCGTCAATATAGGAAGCTCCGCTCCCGCGTCCCGTGTCCACGTAGGGGAAAGTCCCGCGTCAAAAATTGACTTGCAAAAAATAGCAGAAAATTTGTAGTTGGATCGTTGATAATAAACCATATATAGTTCACGTAGAAAAGACTGCCATGAAAAAGAAACCTTCAATTTAAACATATTGTCATTGATTTCTAGTTTTTTTTTTTTTTTTTTTTTTTTTTTTTTTTTTTTTTTGTCATATGAAATATACAAATGCCTTCTTATACAACTATCCCAATATATTCACATTTTACCACAAAAATTTATATGTGGCTATCCCTCCAAAGCACAATCTACCAATAAAACCATTCAGCTAAGGGGTTGTTTGCTCAACAGCTAAAAAAGTGCATTGCATTTCTTTTACAGGAGTTTTGAAATTTCTGGTGTTCCATCAGAAGAAAAATAAATGCAATATAAATTTACAATGCATTTCGAATTCATTCTCTATTTCAATTTCAATATATTTGGAATTCATTGGATTTAGGCAAATTCAAAATGCACTGCTTTGCATAAAGTGTTCCCAGCTACCATCCACCAACTACCACAACCTGCCTTTTAGCCGCTGCCCCCGCCGCCCTCCGCAGGTCATTGGTCGCCACCCGTTGGTTAGTTGCCATCTCTTATCACCGCCCACCGCCCACCAGCATCCACTGTCAAACACCCAACATCGTCAACCACCACCCTCCACGGCCACCGCCACCGCCACCACTAACGAACATATATTACATTGATATCATTTTTTTTCAAAACAATTAAAAAATGAAAAGTCTTGCATTTATTTTACATTGAATCAAACAACTCTAGTATTACAAATAAAATTATATCACTTTTATATTGTACCATTTCCAGCAAACCAAATAGCCGCTAAATGAATTCCATCTAAAATCCCTCAAAATAACTCAATATTCACCCAATGATCAACAAAAAAAATAATAAATCAAAACCACTTCCGATTTAGCTAAAGAAGATAATTATTAGAATGCATCATTGATTGAAACATAATTACCGGAGGATACCTATCATTGAAGTTTGTGGCATTTAAATAAATAAGATCTCAATTGGAAATGTTTTCTAGCAGATTAACATATCAAAAGCTACAGTTTGCATGTCAGAAACAAAACTTTTTAGATGAAGTTTTGTGGGTGTAGAAGAAAGATACACAACAAGCTGGATCAGGTTCAACACGTCAAGCAATATCTACAGAAACTCCATCAATGAATCAAAATTGAATAATGGATTATCCTTTCGCATAAATGCCACATCATTATTTAACAGAAATGAATTCAATTCAACAGCTCAATAATTTTGGTAAGTCCCGTCTCGATCCATACATACCGTGAAAAGGGAAATACCAAAGAAAAACATAATAAAATGACAGCCTGAGTCAGAGAATTCTGAGATCTTTTCAAATATTTTTATCTTCTAGCTGTACAAAGTAAAGATGTTAGTTGTTCACAGACAAATGAAATGTGTGCGTACATATGATAGCAAAAATATAAATGTGCTGGCTTGTTTCCATTAATTTTGGAACATCTTCAGAAAAGATCTCAAAGATCAATACGCATTACACACAATATTTCCAAGTCAAAATCCACAATCAAAAGATGATATATCTGATATAAAATATGAATAGATTTAGACTTCTCTCAAATATAGAAGGCAAAAAAAAAACAAATATGTAGTATATTAAAGCAAATTGCAAGTATAAATTTTCACCCAACCAAAGGTTAAATTAGGTAATTCTTAGATGAACTCCTTGTTTTAAAGAATATGTTGTAGTTGGAAATCTACAATCAAAACTCTATTGACGGCATATATGTACATCATTAGTTTAAGCCAGCATGTTTTGACCACGGGTCAATCATAAATCTAAGAAATAAATCAATTAGCCAGTTAAACTGTTGACTCGCATTAAAGAAGTGCATATATGCTAGTCAGTCTCAGGGTATCTGAGGGTCAACTAATTGAATGAATTTGTGCTCATCAAAGAGTAAATAGGAAGTATAGTAAAGCAAATCGTACAAATAATTTTTCAACATATTAAAGCTCAAATTAAGAAAGTCTCAGACCCTCACCCTGTTCAGAAGCATCTGTTGTAGTAGGGGAAGATTTGATAAGCTGCAATATATAAAAATTTAACTAAGAACCACAATCTTAACATGAACTCCCTGATCATTTAGATAGATAATGCGGAAATATTTGAACAAATACAGCAATTGACGACTCACATCTATATCAGTAAGAGAAGAGCCTAACTTGTCAGCCAACGCGGAAAGGTGCTCCTTTGCATCCTGTTAAATAATAATCAAAAACTTTCTTCCACCGTAGAAGAATATAAGCTTGTTAAGTTAAACAAGACTGAAGCTCATTCAACAACATGCAGCAGCCCACACAAATGAACATGTAAAAATGTACACTTTCATATGAATCACAGTAAATATAAAGATTAACAAAGATGAACGAGACCAAAAGATAGAACCAAATAAAGACAACGTTAACAAAAACGTAATTTTGTCATGATTCAAATTATTATGGATCTATGATAACTGCGATATGTATTTTCTCAGATATCTTGTAATGCAGTGCATTAATAGGAGCTCCAAAAAAATATTATGATTCTCGGTCTAACAATTTAGTTGATGTGCTATTGCTAGCTGAAGTTATCATGGTGATAAATTCAATCTTTGGTTTTTATATGTGAGCTTTAGTAGTAATTATGAATGAAATGGAACTCTGACATTGTCCTGAGTGGAACCCATATGTCATGTACAATTTATATAAAGGTGTATAGCCGAATTAGTGGACCCGGGAAGCAAGTGATACATAAATTTATAATACTATGGTCCTATCCAGGGAAATACATAACCAGGATTTACATTTAGCTGGTTATTCGGAAGTCTTTTAATTTTTGTTGTACCTCATTAATGTTTTGTGGGAACTTGTTTTATGCCCTCTGTTTTTTCATTCCTGCGGTTTTGTGCTTCATAAGGGTGCATGAAATCAGCATAGAGTTTCTTTTCAGATAAGAATATAAAAAGTATTTTAAGATGATTCTTCTTACTCTTAATTTTGAAAGGCAACACAAGTTTGCAACCATTAAGATAAGAATATAAAAAGTTGCAGAAGGTTGGGATAGATATGCTAATTAAGAGCAGAACATATGATATGACTCTTGCTATTGGAGAAGGGAACTTCGAAAATAATACTTTTTTAGGAAAATCTCCTTTTTAGTCAGGTTTGGCATTGCAGGTTTGGCAACACAAGCTAACGTACTATCGAAAGGTTTGAGATGCGTGTAATATTAATTTTTCATACCAAATAATCACGTTTTGGGCCCCTTCATTTTTCTCACCAAGAATTCCTTCTTACATATATATAGCACAGGAAAGTTGTATTTGAGATTTGAAAGAATCATATTTGTGTGAATCTTCAGAGCCAAACTTATTCAGCTTCTGACTCCTCTCCCAAGTGAATTTATTATCATGTTGTCACTGCATAAACTTTAGTATTATACGAATTAATAAAACCATGTAGATACAAAAACTATATAAATATACGAGTTAACTTAGATATTCAAATCATTATTATACTATTTATATGTGAGCTCATGATAGTGTTGGTCCAAATTGTTGATGGTTGCATCATATATATTCTACTTCAAGGAAGACGAAAGGAAACAAACCCAGCCTTTCTTCTCTTCCCACTATTATATTATTCCAATCTCTCATTAATTTTTCATTTTAAACTCTTACAAAGAAGAAGAAGAAGAGGAGGAGGAGGAGGATTGCCGCCATGGGAAGAGCTCCATGTTGCGATAAGGAGAAGGTGAAGAAAGGATAATGGTCACCAGAGGAAGATGTCAAACTCAAGTCTTACATAGAGCAGAACGGAACTGGTGGAAATTGGATTCCTCTTCCACAAAAAGTTGGTATAATTATTTCATCCCTATTTAATCTTCTCAATTAATCGAGCCATGATCTTCATCATCATCAAAAGTCATATTTTGAAGTGCTGAGGATAGGAGAATTATTCTTAAATAATCTATTTTTTTATACTAAAAAATCTTTTTTTTTAATTCCATAACCAAAATAGATAGTATTTCAGTTAAAAAATCAGGATTTTATTGAAACAGGTGGTCTTTGATTGCCGCCCAGTTGCCGGGAAGAACAGACAACGATATAAAGAACTACTGCAATTCTTGCTCCAATGGTGTGAGCTCGTGGTTTACAGAAATTAGTTTTAGTAGTTTGAGTTGTATTTAAATCATAAGAATAATTAAATGTACAATACAATTATTTTTTAGATTTTGATTTTTATTTTGAGATTTTATTTATATTTTTTGTACTCTTGTTTAGTTTGTACATTTTAAAATTTGTAATAAATTGATTCTTATTTTATAAGTTTTTGTCAAATAATATTAATATTCTTGTGTAAAATTTTGTAATCAATTTTGAAAAGTTTTTTTGGGTTAATCATTTTTTTTAGTTAATCAATCTCTGAAATTTGGTGTGAAATTTGTTCTTGAAAAATTTTTAGACAAAATTATTATTTGTTTTAAAAATAAATTTTAGTAAAATAGTTTTATATTCTAACAAGTCAATTTCGAGCCGAACACGAACACAATGTTCACGAACCATTTTGAACACGAGCCGATTTCGAACACGAGCAAGATTTGAACGAGCCGAAAACGAGCCCAGCTGAGCTCGGTCAGGCTCGGCTCGTTTACAGCCCTAAATAGCATCCCTTTTACCTCATGACAAATTCCCCCCTCCCCCTGCTGTGGTAATTTAATATAAGAAAGTGGACTTGTAGACGCATATATTGCACGGCAAGGCATAAAATAAAGGTGAAGTTATTAACAGTAGCATAGTACTCTAATCTCAAATATTCTGTCATATAAGAGGTAAAGCTATTAACCAACATAAAGCAATATATCCACAGTAATTATAAAATAAGCTCAAAGCTGCTATTAAAAGCAGCAATATATAGTTTAGGTCATACAAAGAAATTCATATGCCTGAATCCCCATCTCAATTTTAATTTCTACTTATCATGACTGTTACCTACTAACCAATAACACAAGCATTTGAAGAATAAATTTTGAAACCCAGAAATGGTATTTATCAGAACCAAGAAGCCTTTATAATTCTCCCCCATGATGTCATTTGAAATGCACAGGAATCCCTGTTAAAAATGAAGGATCATCATATACATAACCAAAATTAGGGAGACAGGAACAGCTGCAGCCTTAACTGCACCTTAATCAGTTTGATATGCTCCTTAACTCGTGAATAGCATTTTAAATTTAAATTCTAAAACAAAACAAGCATTATACATAGCATTATACCTCCTGAAAACATTGAAACGACAGGTTACAGGTATCATAGCTATTTATTGGCAAGTATCATAGCTCAACCACCATACTGAACATCTGTGATTCCCCCAACTTTGCATCCCCACAATTTCAATTGAAAATATGGTTCTGGAAATGAAACCAAGAGAAGGGTGATAGAGCACCCCCCAATCCCCACAACTTCATGGCACCATTAAAAACCAATTCAATGTTAAAGCTCACCTTACCAACACAAGTGTCGATTACAGTTCTATATAGCTGCCTAAAATTATCTCATTTCGTGTCACCATTACAAGTAAAATGCTAACAGATAACCTCACTAACTTAATGTATAAATTATTTCATGCCACCATTTCATCTCATTTCATGTCACCATTAGAAGTGGAATGCCAACATATCACCTCACCAACAGTATTAAATTGTTTCAAAACAAGATCTGTAGCATCTACAATATTCCATGGAAGACCGTAACTGTTGAATGCCAACATAATGAAGCTCACAGAGGCAAAACATTAAAGGATGTCAATATTAAAAAACCCCCCAATCCCCCATCATGATAGAAATGAAATGTATGATACAGCTAAGAGATATCAAATAGCATTAAGGAATGTTGTTAAAACTTCAAGCATGATCACCTTGTCATTCTAATGCAGGCAAATAAAACAGAAGAATGTTTTGTATAGATGCCCATTACTTCCAAATAACAGTTTTATGCTAATTTGAGACTAAGAAGAAAAAAATATAATTTTGACATAGTACAAAATCACATACAATGTCTTCTTGTCCACCCAAGCAAGCTTTTCTACATGCAATGAGAACACCAAAAACAAGATCATGCTCAAAATTAACAAGATTCTTGTACTGTTGTGCTGGCGGTGGAGGCCTTCTAGGTTGTGGAAAATTGAAAATGGCACGCAAATATTTCCTTGGGCACATCATCATAGCCCCTTGAAATAAGAAATAAGGGCATTTGCATAACCTTTAGAAAATCCTACATAAAGAAAACATGTACAACAGAGCAGTGGTATAACCTCCAGTGCAGTGGTATGAAGCAACTGCAGTAAGACCAAAAGCTCTTCACCAACAATGGTTCATGTAATACATAAAACTTCTAAATAAAAAATGAGTGATATAAATGGATTCCAGATATATAGCAGCGGTTACCCTCAAAAAATTGGGTCATCCAAGCTGCTAGAAATTATGTCCATCATAAATTATTCACCAATAAATGAGTGATATAAATGGATTCCAGATATATAGCAACGGTTACCCTCAAAAAATTGGGTCATTCAAGCTGCTAGAAATTATGTCCATCATAAATTCTTCACCAACAATGGAATCCATATAAAAAAAAATGCTTGCTGTCAACAAATTGTCCTTACAGAAAACCCTAAAATAAGGATTCATTCATAATTGTGTAGCCAAATTTTAAAATACATTAATTAACATGTATCGCTAATGTCTTCTGTTATTCGATCTCTCAGAGCTGCAATTTCAGATGCCCCTTCACCATCTCTGGTATTTGTTTCAAGTGAATCCATTTCAAGCTGTGATATGGTGCGGCCTACATGGTACTCGAATGCTTCGGGGGGAATTTGCTGTAAATCCGCATCAACCACGGCAAATTCTACATCAGTTCTTGAAGGATGTCTCTTAATAAATTTGTGTAGTGTCGATGTGATCACTACTATCTGGACCTGCTTCGAAAATGCATAAGTGAGCATATCAAGCAATATAACCCATTTCTTCTTCCACACTCCGAATGATCGTTCGATTACGCCTCGCAATGATGAATGTCTTTTATTAAATAATTTTTCTTCTTACGTGCTACACTGCTTGATCTTTCAAAATCCGAGATATGATACTTTGTATCTGGATACGGCTTAAGAAACCCCCTTTGTAAGGGATATCCGGCGTCAACCAAATTGCGTTATGTTT